AATCAATTTCTAATTAATATTAAATCAATAATTACAATAATATGCCTATACATTTAACGTATTTTGTACAATCGATAAGCTTCAAAGTTTGATATCCTTTTTAATATTAGTTAATTCATTAATTATTACTCGTTAACCAGTGATTTACAATCAGAGCGAGCTAGCACGGCCCGCGGATGACATCGCGGTTTCCCCTGTCAAGCACAACACGATTGAGATCGACACGAGACACCGCGATTCACCGATCGACTCGCGCCGAGGATTCGTCCAAATCAATTGAGAACTCGGCGTTACTGGTAGCCAGGAGTGTATACGGGAAGAAGCCTTGTAATCTTGGCAAAGTTAATATTTTTAAGGCCTCCTTTTCGTATGTCTCGCGGCCAACCGACGATGCTCACGTTTTTCGAACGACAAAACTCATCGCCACTTGCGACAAACATATTCGCGCTTATCGATTCTCGAATTGATTTCAATTAGTATCCTCGGCTTACCCGGTCAAAATAAAATAAATAGTGCTGAGCAAAAAACGAATATTCATCTAATCGTCACTAGGAAGGTGTGCGAGGTCACGAGGTCAGGAGGTAAAGGCTCTTCCAGGATATTCGCTTCCTTGTTACGAACCCATGTGTGATAAGACTAAACTGAAGAATATAGGTGTCAGAGGACGACAGGAGCAAAGATCGAAGAGACCTTTGACCTCTTCGGGGTTCCGGGCTGTAGGGGTAAGGTAGAGGTAGGTTGGTACACGTATAACTAGGTCAGTGTTAAGTTCGGGTTGAGGGTATTAGAAGGGGGCAAACGTTTTCGAAAGGGGGACGAAAAATCGCATGGTGCCAATAAATACACAGGGACCGGTAATAGTACCTACGAGGGGCTGATCGGATCCTGACGTGAAGGGCTGTGGTGACCTGATGGTGACTGTGGGGGTCGACGTAGCCCACGGAATCTGGCATTACGCCCTCAAGTGTACGTGGCTGTTGGTCTTCTTCTTGTGCGTCTCCAGATGCTTCATCATGTGGTCCTTCCTGATAAAGCCTTTGCCACAATTATCACAGGCGTATGGCTTTTCGCCAGTGTGGAGGCACATGTGCCGCCTGAGGTCCGTCTTGTGGTTGAACTGCTTGGGACAGATCTCGCACTTGTAGGGCTTGTCGCCGGCGTGCTTCTGCAGGTGCTCCGCGTGCAAGTACTCCAGGGGGAAGCGCTTGCCGCACTGATTGCATTTGAACGGCTTGTCGCCAGAGTGGAAGCTCTTGTTGTGCTGGGTCAAGTAGCAGGCCTTGTTGAAGACCTTGTCGCATTCGATGCACTTGTGAAAGCCATCCTGGGAGATGTAGTGGGAGCCGGTATTGGTGCTCGTCACTTGATGCTCCTTTGTGATCATCGACATCTTCTTGGCGTCCTCCTTCTCGTTGCCGTGTTGATCGGCAGGAGGTTTAGTGTTGATGTTTGCGTTAAGACCGATTCCGAGATTTCTCTGATCCTCTTTGTTGTGAGGTAGATTGTTGTTGGCCTCGAGACTCTGTCTTGGTTGAGGCATCTCGTATTGTTTTATAATCATTCCATCGGTCTGATGTCGCTGCTGCTGCTGATGATGATGCTGATGATGATGGTGTTGTTGTTGATGCTGCTGATGTTGATGCGATTGTTGTTGTTGTTGTTGCTGCTGCTGCTGCTGCTGCTGCTGCATAACCTCCATGTTGGCGAGGGACTCGTACCTTGGCGGTGAACTGCGGTATGGATCGTAATTCGATCCGGGGGAATCGAAGGATCTGTCTTGACGAAGATTCTCCTCCGGACTTAGCCCCCCCACGTTAACGGCCTGCGGCTGGTTGGGGCCTACTAGAAACCCGGACATGCCGAACTGATTGAAGCTCGGTAGGGGCCTCTGATGATTGCTGAAGGTCCCGAATCCGGGTAACATCTCCTGAGTCTGTTGAGCAGGTGGTAACTCGTTACCAATAGTAGTTAGCTGGCTGGTGATAGACTCCAGCAGACCCGGGATGTTGGTAGTAGGTGTAACGTGGGGGGGCAAGGCGTTTGGGTACGGCTGATGAGGCATCGAAGTACCCCCCATCGGGGGCGAATTCATTGGGGCCCCCATTATTGGAGACGGCGAACTCATGTGGTGTGGGTGCGAGCCCATTGGCGAAGGCGAATTCAGGTGCGACGGCGGCGGCGGCGGCGCCCCCATGGGCGAGATGGGCGAATTCATGGGGTGGGCCCCCATTTGCGAGGGCGAACCCATTGGTAGATGGTGTCCCGGCATTTGGGGCGACGCCGACGGCGAACCCATTCGATGGTGCGCCGTTATTGGGGATGGCGCCGGGGAATTGAGGGGGACCATTGTGGATGCCAAGTGGATTGTTGAAGGCGGTTGCTGTGGAAGGGTTGCCGAAGACTCGTTGCTGCTGGAATTGCTGCTGGTGTAGAGGGTGCTGGGCGTGTGGAGCAGGCCCCTCGCCGCCTCGCCCGAGGGACCTGCCATCAAGTTTGGGGGACTCCCAGAAGAAGATAGCTCCGGCGACCTCGCCGATCCTCTGCCTCCACCGCCTCCCCCGAGGCTCGCAGCATCCCTACCCGGATGATGATGGGCGCTTATCGGCATGTTAGCCGGATCCGGCTGGTTGCTCTGCTTCACGGCATTCTTGTGAAGAGTCGTGTTGTAGTGCCTCTTCAGATGTCCGGAACTCGTGAACCACTTGTTGCACGCGGTGCAGTTGTAGGTCTTTGGTCTCCGCGCCTCGTTGCTCTTCCAGGACTGATTGGCCATTGGCGGAGGCTTCGGCGGCTGCTGTAACAACCCCGGGATCTGGTGCGGTGCCATCTGTTGGGTACTGCTGATTATTGGAGAGCCAGGATGTCGCGGTGGTTCGACGGGTATGTGCGGTGCGGCCCTCATGAATTGGCCTTGATCGGGAATTGGAGAGACATTGTCCACCATGGGCCCAGGACCCATTGGCGAGACTCCTGCGGGATGATACTCGTGGGGTTGTGCCGGAGGCCACCCTAGCATAGAACTCACCGAATGAGATCCTCCGCGTTGCTGCTGCTGTTGATGCTGATGTTGCTGCAGAACCGCCTGCTGCTGCTGCTGTTGGTGCTGCTGTTGCTGTTGGTGCATCTGCATCTGCATCTCCTGCTGCTGCTGCTGATGTAGTCGCATCAGCTCCTCCTCGTATCTGTGCGTCTGCACCTTGTGCGAGTCCAGGTCGAGTATCTCGGCCTGCTCCTCCGGTTCCTGTTTGATTTCAACCTTGATGCCAGACTGCTGGGCTCCGTTGTAATCGTAAGCTTGCTGCGTTTGCTGGTTACTCTGCGGCGGCGAGGCGTGCATTTGTTGCGGAGCCTGATGCGGAGGACTTCCGCCGAGTTGTTGGTACTGCGCCTGAGAATTGTAGGCACCGGGCGAGGTGGGGTGACTCGACCTGACGTGTTCGCCGAGCTGATTAGCGTCGTCGTAAACAGCGCCGCACTTGTCGCACTGCAAGGGACTCCGTGGGCTGGTGGAGCTGACCGAGTTGGCTCTTTCGGGAGGGAAGTGTTGCTGATGCTGATACGGATGATATCTGTAGTTGCTCGGCTGGGCCTCTTCCCGGCTCGGCGAGAACTGATGGGGCAACATGTAGGCCTGATCGTTCTGCATGAAGTAGCTGGTCTCGCTGAACATCGGGGTTTGAAAATGATTATAATTCTGTGACGAGGGTGCCTGCTGTTGAGCCCCTTGCAGTCCCTGTTGCGGTTGACTGGATTGAACTTGCTGCTGACCCGGCTGAGCCACCTGCTGTTGACCAGGTTGCTGCTGTTGGCCAGCTTGTTGTTGATTAGCCGGTGGACCCTCCGAGGGCGGCCTCGACGATGGCTCACTCGAGTCCGCCGGGGCCGTCACACTCTCCCTCTTCGTCGCCACATGACTGTTGTGATTTCCGGCCTTGCTGTTGTTATTGTTGCTCTCCTCCTGTTGTGCCTGGCTGGCCCACTGGCTCAACAAGTTGTCCTGGTGGTAGCGCAGGTGGACCTCGAGACTCTTGTCGCTCTCGAAATACAATCCGCAGTCCTTGCAATGATGTTCGGCGTTCGCGCTACCTCCCACGTACTGTTGCTCGACACTCGCCATTTCACTCATATTGTCTCTGTCTGCAAAGTGTCTTGACCGGTGACCAGCCGATCGGCAGTTGGCGCGCGCGCGCGCACACACGCCGGATCTCTTCTCTCACGATGTCGTCCTTTCCGGTCTGCCTGGCGAGTTACCGTCACGAGACGACTTCACGCCGACGCGATCGCACTTTCATTAACGCGGCCAGAGTCAATTAAACCGTGACGAGACGAGAGCTCAGAAGGGAACGCAATTATCATGCACCGTTCGTAACGCGATAACTTTCCTTTTCTCTTTATTACAAACGATTGTAAACAGTCTTTAGAATTCACACGCAACACGGTAGGTCTCTTTCTCTTTGCTTACATGTAAACAAACAAAACACGTTCTCTCTACCTTCAGACTTCCTCGAGTTATTCCCTCTCGACTAGCCTTTAGGTTTATCGTGAACAGGCCTTGTCACGATCTCTCGATCACCACCCGCACGTCCCACTTCCTCTTATTGGAGTTACGTCTCCGTGCCTCCTTTCTTTCTTCCTCTCGAGGAACGCGGAAAAAAACGCGACGCTCGAAACTCAAGAAGAAACGAAAAGCATACAACGGGTTCTACATTTATCATATGATTAGTGGCATTGCGTCGAACACTGCCAAAGTCCAGATAACCGGGTGACGCGAAACGATTGTTGATTCCGACATTTTCGATTTATCGTTGCTCGCCGTATCGTTTGGTCACTAATATTATTGCCCCGTTGATATCCTCTCTCTAACCGCAATTATCCTTCTTCGATGGCCGGCGACAGGCGCGTGCGCGCATTCGAACGCGTGTGTACCCGCGCGAGTCTAGATATATATATATATATACATATATACGTATATATATATATATATATATATATACAACGCGTGCTCTATGACTTTTACGAAGCGTCTCCGACTCGAAGTTCACGACGACAACAATAGCGTTGGCCAGTCGCAGTCAAACAAAACAAATAATTTAACGGGAGGAACGAAAAGTAAAACACGTCACGCGCCTCGAGTGATTTACATATTAACGAGTATTGAGACTGTCACTCACGTTTCCCGACAACATCCCACGAACCCGTCTCCTCTCTTGTTATCACAAGCTATCACTGCTCACTGTGCCCAACACTGACCGCATCTTCGCCACCGATGCCACTCTTACTCCTTTTTTCCAGCCGGTCCAAAAGTATTATTCAGTCCTCTCCTCTCTCCGTCACCGTGACTCGAGTTTCGCACAGAGCTGTACAATTTTCGTGTTCGACGAGAGTCCGTTTTTCCTTGTCCTTCTCGGCGTCGCGCCGAGTCGAGAAACACTAATTCTGCGGCGGGCGGTTATCGCACGCGTCAGTAAATCAAACTCGTACTTGAGACCCGCGTCGGGTGAACGCCGGCACTATTCTGTCGCTTGGAATTCCAGAGTTTGGAGTCCTCGGCCCGACTCGCGCCAAGAAGGCGCTCACTGCTTCCCCCGGCGCCCCACCATCACGACGCCACGCCACGTACAACCCCCTCCGTGCACTCGACGACTCTCTCTCTCTCTCTCCTGTCCTCTCCCCTCCGACGCCCCTCTGCCACTTGGCGTAGTAGCCCACCCCCCCTTCCCGCTTCCCCGCCGACCCTGTCCTGCCGAGTCCTCTCCCCACCGCCAGCCGAACCGTCGTGCTAAGCAACCGGCCTGAGATAGCCAACCAAATTTGAGATGTTCTCCGCTCCTTGCCCCCACCACCCTCTTCGATTCTTAGCCCTCTCCCCGACCTTCCCCGCGAACCCTCCACCCTCCACTGTGCTCCGAGGACCACGACGGACAATCCTGCAGGACGTTCTACTCTCTTCTGCTCTGCTCTGCTCCGCTGCTCTCTTCCCCCCTTTTGCTTCTCTCGGACCCTCCCCCCCCC